CCGCCATCTCCAGCTCACTCGTCATCTTCATCGTCCTCCTCATTATCGTCCAACGCCCTCTTCATCGCCTCTTTCTGACTCGGCAGCCGCCCACCCCTGCCCACCTTGGCCTGCCTCGCCATTTCCTTCTCCTCATCGCTATCCGCCACGAGCGGAATCTTCTCAAACACAAACATGCGCGCCGCCCTATCCTCACCCTTCCACCCCGTCTCCATGGCCCCCAGCGTCCTCACATGATGATACCCCGGATACTGGCTCCAATCAAACTGCCAGCTCTCCACCACCTTCAACCCCGCATGGCGCGCCAGATCCCTGATATTCCACAGCGTGTACGGCTCGCCTTCGAAGAGCGTGACGATGATCCGGCCGCCCATGCGGAGGAAAGGGCGGATGGGTTGCTGGGGCGGGCTGCCTTTCTTGTTATCATCCTGGTTCCGCAAGATTTGTAGCCGCCGTTTGGGATTCGACGTGTCGAGGCAGGATTTGAAGAAGGATACCAAGAGGGCTTGGTTGGCGCGCACTTGTCGGTTTACGTCGGTGGATAGACCGCCTGTGTGCGGGAACATGAAGGCGATTGTGTCCCAGCCTTCTTCGTCGTTGTCATCGTCGTCGTCGTCGCGGTTACACCGTAGGTGTTTGTAGCTGGATAGTTTTGTTGCGTCGATGTCGTGGTGGAGGGGAACGGGCGGTGTGAGGGAGGAGAGTTCGGTTTCGATTTCTCGGAATGACGGGTATTTGCTGTGGACATCTTGTCCGTCGTCGTAGCTCGTTGCCGTTACGTTTGCGCAGCCGTGTTCTATGGCGAGGGACCGCGTGAAGCTGAAGTCGCCTTCGCCGACGAGGAGTATGTGGTCGTATTCGCCGAAGGGGATTTTGTGCTTCTTCTTTGGGGGTTGTGCGTGGGCGGGCGTTGTTGCAGGTGTGGATGCTGCTGCTGCGTTTGGTGCGCTCATCTTTTGCTTCTTGTTCGCTGGAGTTTTTGCCGTGGGTTTGGAGTCGGCCGCTGCTTTTGCGTTCTTTTTGTGGAACGCGAAGATCTTCTTCTCACCTTCGCGCTTGAGCTCGCGACGAGCGCGCTTGGTCTTTGTCTTCGACATGCTGTTGCTGTGTTTGCGATTGCAGAGTGCAGTCAATTGGATGCGGCTCGGAGGTTTGCGGGGAACTGGACGAAAATGATTAGTTTGGGTCACGCTCAAGCAGGGTTCAGGATCTGCATGTGAAAAGAGGGCTGCATGCACGTCAGCACGATATCTGCACATTACTCAGTAAAACCTTTATAGCAAGCCAACCATGATTAGAGAAGAGATGGTCTGAAGATGCACACACGATGGATTGCTCTTATGACTAAAATGTACAATGGACCTAATGCAGCAGCCGCAATATGCAAGCCGGCACGTTCAAGCAGTTCAATGAAACATCGTTATGACTGCTTATATCAAGTCGCGCTTGACGAACTGGTCGTAGAGAGTTGATCCTAGCTTGGCGGGGGAGCGCTCAACAGTGACACCAGCGGCCTCAAGCGCGGTGATCTTGGAGTTGGCATCACCCTTTCCACCACTGACAATGGCACCAGCGTGACCCATTCTCCTGCCTGGCGGTGCGGAAATACCAGCGATGAAGCTGACAACGGGCTTGTTGGCAGTGTTGTACTCCTTCAAGAAGTCTGCGGCATCCTCCTCGGCGGAACCACCAATCTCACCAATCATGATGATACCGTCAGTCTCCTCGTCCTTCAGGAAGACATTCAGGCAGTCGATGAAGTTGGTTCCGGAGAAGGGGTCACCGCCGATACCGACAACGAGTGACTGGCCAAGGCCGGCTTGGGTGGTCTGGTTGACGGCTTCGTATGTGAGGGTTCCGGAACGAGAAACAATACCGACGCGGCCGCGCTTGTGGATGAAGCCTGGCATGATACCAATCTTGCATTGACCCTATTCAAGTCAACATGACATCCCGACTGGAAGAGGTAGGCAAAGAACGTACGGGAGCGATGATACCGGGGCAGTTGGGGCCGACCATGCGAGACTTGTTCTGTGTCTTGAGCATGTCTGTGATGCGGACCATGTCTGCATCAATCAGTATCTATGCCTCGTTGACCATGTCTGTAGTTCATACCGTGTTGCGGGATACCCTCAGTAATACTGTCGGTTGTTAGTTTCCAAGTACCCAAGTTCGATGTGTACACCTACGTCACAATCAGAGGAACCTCTGCGTTGATAGCCTCCTCGATACTGGCAGCAGCGACTGGCGGGCTACAAGTCTGTTAGATCGCATGGTCTGTATGCGGCTGTGGGGTATGGCGTACGGAACGAAGATGGCAGTAGCGGAAGCCTGAGTCTCCTTCATGGCCTCTGCTACGTTCTTGAAGACGGGCAGTCCAAGATGCTCGGTGCCCGCCTTCTTGGGGTTTGTGCCTCCAACAACCTTTGTGCCTGTCGCCCTGTCAGTCCTCCCCCTCACAGGATTATATCAGCGGGTCCGTTGCGCATACCGTATTCAATGGCTTGTTGTGCGTGGAAGCTGGTCCTGCATTAGCCCCTCCTCCAACCACGCGCTCTTGCAGTCGCACTCACGTTCCCTGCTTTCCCGTGAAGCCCTGGAACAGGACCTTGGTGTCGCCGTTGATGCGAAGGTTCTTAATCGTCTCGGCGTACTGCGAGGAAGCCGTCGCATACTGCCTGGTAGCGGCCTTTGAGAGCGCAGAGCGCATCGGTTGCCGGATTGCCTGCATCGTGACGGGTATGGTGGTCACGAAAGCAACTCTGGGGTTTTTGGAGGGTATCGCGGGTCGGTTTAGTGGTGGTTAGCGGTCTGAGCGAAGCTGCGACATGGCGGGAGTTCTTCGGGGGAGCTTGGCCAACCTAAAATCTCGTGCCAGGGTCCGTCCGCGCCCGACAACTTCACGAAAATAACTCGTCTATCGAGGACACATCCCGACAGGTTGCAGTCTCACGTCGAGATGAAGAGGCCGAACATTCGAGTATACGGACATTCTGCTTGATCTGCGTATTACAGTACTGTGCTTCTGAACATGGTGCTGCTCGCGATGTGTGTTTTCAAGCCGCGGTCCTCAACATGCAAGCATGTTGCAGTGCATGTTTCGCAATAGTAAGACATTCGCGGCGCGCATACACTGTGGTTAGACAGAGTCTTATTTTGTGCTTCATCTTGCTCAAATCTACAACTGTCCATCTTGTTCTCATTCTTCGTTGCGCGGTGTACTACAGTCTTTCTTTGACTGGACAGAAACAAAATGCAGGATGGATACATGCCATGAATGCAATGTATCGTAAGACGTATATAATTCTTACATGTTCTACACAGTTTATACACAATGATCGGACACAGATATTTAGTCGTTTAGCTTGCCGTAGAATGGGATTCCAATGGATTGGAGGAGTAGACGTGCGTCCTTGTTGTTGGTGGCATCGGTTTGGATGGTGATGTGGCAACCGGGAATCATCTTTGGTGGGTATCTGAACCGTGTTAGTCGGAGCACAGATTAATAGAGGACAGCAGACTAACGCATCATAGTTGACCTCAATTTCCGGGAAGAGGGCAAGTTGGTCTGGGGTGAGACCAAAGCTCATGTTACCGTGTCCGTCTCCAGACGAACCTGGTACGCCTTTCCACTCCTTGATCCTTGGCAGGACCACATCGATGAGTTTTGTCAGAAAGTGCTCGGCATCTTCCCGCTCCATCTTGGCCGTCACCGAGACATATCTGCCCGCACGCAAGCCCCACCCAACGACGTTGTGTCTCGCCTTGTGCGACACGGCTCGTACATTGCTGATGGCCTGCAGAATCATACCTGCGACGTGCAGATTCCCGCTGTTTTCCTGCGCTTCTGGCACCATGGAGTGGACTGTGACGCCTGTGATCTTGGGAATGTTGCGGAAAGTGCGGGGCTCTTGAAGCAGTCGGAGTACCTCACCCTTACCTCGTGGAGGCCTGAGGGGGCGGTTCTTGAAGTAGGGAGAGTCGCCAGTCCATTCTCGTAGTCTTTGCTCCGTCTTGGGAGCACGGTAGCCGGGAGGGTAGTGCTGATATGTGAGGGTGAGAAGATCGGACGCGATCTTGCTCTGGTAGGTTTGCTCGAGACGGGACAGGCTGAAGGGTCCAGGCTGGAAGAGTCGCGAAGAGGGATCCGACTCGGGAGGTGGCTGGTGGGGGTGGAGAGGGCCGCGGTAGTATTTGGGGGACCGGTATTGGTATCTAGTATGTATGAGCCTGTGTGTCTGCTGGTGCATGCTTCAGCGGCCGTACCTGCTTGGCGGCAGCTGCTTGTTTCCTCTCCGCCGCAGCCTGCTCCGCGCTACGGGGTCGTAGTTCTTTGCCAGTTCCTGCGATGGCGGCGGGACCTCTAATGATGAGGCGTCTTCAATTTCTCGGACTGCGTCGGACGAGGCATTGCGGCGGCACAGGGGGACAGCCGCGCGGACAGCGGGTCTGGTGCTGTTGCAGAGGGCCGTGGCCGTGCGAAGTGGCAGCTCGCGCAGTGCCATGGGAGTGTGATGCGGCGTCGTCGTGGGTACGGGCCTCACAGCATGCGACAGCGTCTCCAACGGACTTTTCCTCGGAATACGCTATACGCGAGACGCGAGGGCGGCAGGGATGGGCGGTTTTAGGGTCCGCGGCTAGCCAATAGGGCTACCCCACTCGTCCGCACCTGCCACTGCTCCAGGTCGGACGTCAGCTCGCGACAATGCGGCTGATCGGCATCGGGGACATGCAGTGCTCGTATCTTTCTTTTTGTGTCTTGCGTTGAGGTCGCTGTCTGTCGGCCGCTCCTTTGACCGCGCGTCACCATTGCGCTTTCACCGACAAACTCCCATCCGCCGCCAACCAGCCCCCAAACACCCTCTCGCTTCCCCACCGACCACCGGGCTCAGGGCTCGTCTGCACCTTCCTCCACCACCGAACCCAAGCTCGCTGCCTGCCCCGCTACCCACCGCCGCGTTCCCTTCACTGAATGGGTCTCGCCTTCACCGTCCACCACCATGAACGGCATGTCACGCTTTCTCAGCCGGCGCGACAAGCATCATGAGAAGCGCGCGTCCAAGCACGCCCATACCAAAGTACGCCTGAGCTCTTTCGCTTCTGTCAACTCCCTCAGTCCTTTGCTATGCTCTGCCGCCGTTGCGCTGCCGGAAGACTCGCCCAGCTGCCAGCGGCGCTTGTCTGCCGGCATCGAGACGCTGTACCACAAGCTCCCATTTGTACTGCGAACATCGGTAGAGGATAGTCTTCTATTTCTACACCAAAAGCTGCCATGCCGTGCTTCTTTACTTACACCCAACGCCGATCAAACTTCAACATCGCATTCTTCTGACTATGTGTCTCTGCAGTCCAAATCTACCGATGCTTCGCCCGACCTCTACAGAATATTCACGAGCGAAGGTCCCAGACCGCCAGCGAACAATGAGTCCGAGAAGAAGGTACGCGAGGGAACAAGGCTGCATGCAATCTGGCTGACGGGCTGCAGGTCAAGATGCTGCTTTCACGCCTACAGGGCGCTGGCATAACCAGCATGGGAGAGGAACAGGCCGAACACGCCCTCGCCTGGCATCCCAACGACATCGACAAAGCCTACGATCTTCTAGTGCTCGCCAACGAATCGCTCGAAGGCGAGCTGAAGGACTTCAGTCCTGATGTGACCATGTTGGGCGCCATAAACCGGAACATGGTGACGTGCTACCTGGACGCACTGCTCTTTGCCATGTTCGCGCGTCTCGACAGCTTTGAGGCCATGTTGTACGACAATTTTGAGGATGAGCCAAGGAAGAAACTGGCGGCTGTGTTGCGCTTATGGGTCAACCTCTTGAGGAGTGGTCAGCTCATCAAGGTCGATTTGGTACGATATACCTCAACATCTAACTCCTCCATGGCTAACGCATATCGTAGACAAAGCACCTCCAGGACTCGCTTGCAAAGTGCGGATGGGAAGATGCTGCACAGGTTCGCCAACAAGACGCTTCGGAAGCTTTCACTTTCATTACTGGTGCGCTCGAGCTGCCGCTACTCACCCTCAAGATGGACATCTACCACACCGGACGTGAAGACAAGGAAGATGACCACAAGTTCGTCAACGAACGGCTGCTCGAAGTCGCCATTCCAGAGCAAGAGGGCGATCACGTCGTCACACTGGAAGACTGTTTAGAAACCTATTTCAACAACAGAATCGAGGTGAAGCGGTACCTGCAGCGGCAGAATACGATAGCATCCATCAAGTCCAAAGACGAAGAATTCGTAGACAAGGATCCTGAGAAAAACGAGACGATACATATCGAGACGATGGAGATGGAGGGCTCGATGACTCCTCTCGTCTCTACGCCGATGACTTACGAGCCAAGCACACCACTAACTCCAACGCGACCAAACCTACAAGGCCGCCGTCGCGCTGATAGTATCTTCAGCCAGCGGTATACACGGCAGTCACAGGAAACGAGCAAGTTTGACGAGAAGAAGCATGTCGAGGACATGTTGGACAACAGCTCCAGCGGCCGACCACGATCAGCTTCTCTACTTAAGAAGGAGATTCTCATGCCGGCTTGGCAGTTCTTCAGTCTCATCCCCTGGTATACCGACAACGTACCAAAGACCGATGCTCAAGTCGCTGCGCATTTCTCGGTGAAGCGTCCGGTTCTCGGCATATGCCTAAAGAGATATACAATGACGCCGCACGGCGCTCCAAAACGCCTGAACACATATATCGACATTCCGCTTGATATCGGTTTACCTCACTTCATATCTGATGATCGAATGAAAGAAGAAGGTCCGCTGTTTGGCAACTTCAAACTTGTGCTCCAGTCTGTCGTCTGCCACCGAGGCGTGTCAGTCGACTCTGGTCACTATATTGCGCTTGTCCGTGCTAATGCTCGCGAACGACCTGGCACCGCGCAATCGGATTCGGAGGAAGAGCTAGAAAAGTGGATACGCTTTGACGATCTCTCGCCCCAACGGGTGACTGAAGTTGACATCAAGACAGCCTTGCGAGAAGAGTCACCGTATCTGCTCTTTTACCAAGTGCAGCCTATTGATGAAGAGCTCGCTTCCCGGGGGGATCCTCCCACATATGCAGAAGCGCAGTCAGGAGTTCCGTCCGTAGACCCTTCACGAGAAACGCTAGCTTCCCTGCCCTCTACAACAGCCGCGGATGCCGAGGCCGGTGTAGAGAACGACAACGTCAACACCAAAGATCCGCATACTGAATCCAATTCTACAGACGAGCCAGCTAGTCGAACCAGCATGTCCAGCAATCGGCGCAGCAGCACCGCGATCGAGGATGGCGAAGGCAGCCTACGTGGCCGAACTGAACCGCAAACACCAGATGATCAGAAGAGCAGCTTCTTGTCCGTATCCCGGCGCGGCTCTCGAATATGGTTATCGGGGAACAATAGAAGTCGACCAGGTAGTCCAAGCGGCGAGACTCGTTTGTCTCTTACGTTATCGAGGCTAACGGGACGCGGTAGCAAGGACAAGCTGGTTACGACTGAAGCTGCTCCCAGCGACGAGCCTCACATTGTGATTGAAAAAGTGAAGAGCGTAGAGAACGATCAACAGGGCCACTCTCCAGCCAAAGAGAAGAAAGAAGCAGGCTTGTCGGGCAGCAAGAGTAAGAAGGAGAAGAAAGACAGACGGAGGAGCAAGAGTAGGGACCCTGGTACAGTCCTAGAGAAAGGGAAGAATAAGGACAAAAACAGGCCGGATCGCGAATGTCTGGTGATGTGAGGAAGGCAGGGTTTGTGTACATGGGAGATTTCCTCTCTGTTTGTTCTTTGGTTATTTGCATTGCATATCGCCGCGACACCATTTCGCGATTGGGTGTCTACGAAGCCGGCGAGGGAGTTTTGAATCATTAGCGCGGCGTCATTGGAACATACAGAGTATGGCTTGAGATTGGATTTGTTATGGCACACGCATGTTGGGGACTATAGACGAGATACCCTGCATCAGAACGATCAGAAGGAGCAAATGACCTTCTCCATCTTCCATGATAGACCTGTGCACCTTCTATACTCGTGACGCGTACCAAAACTTCTGTGTCGTTCTCGCTCTATGTGTCTGGAGAAGGCATTAGATAAGACTAGAAGGGTGAATGCCTGTTGGGGCTAGCCAGCGGCGGGCAACAACCTGGCCTCTTGGGTCGCGCGCTAATGATGACCCTCGCCCACCACAAAAGTCGCCCGCTTGTTCTTTACCCTCTCACCCACGTTCCGCGCAACCACATCTCTACCCCTAGCTTCTTGTCAAACGATCGCGAGAGCGACCTTCAATTCTTCACGCCAACAATCCGCTTCCAACGTCACAATGGCCATCAGCCCGCAAATGTACGCCAGATCCTCTGCGCCCGGTGTTGAAGACAGTTTGCTAACTCAACTGCAGTTCCAACCTGGTCATCATCCTGGGATTTATGCAAATCTCCAAGAAGATACCTTTCGACGACCCGACTGTCCTCAACGGCGTGCGCGCGCTCTACATCGTCTCCAACCTGATCATCGCGGGTATCTACCTCTACGTGCAGGCGCAGATCAACAAGAAGAATGGTGCGTGGAAAGAAGAGCCCGGGGTAGACCGACACAGCGACTAACAAAACACCACAGACATGACTGTCGTCAAATACGTCGAGCCGGCCCCGATGGGCTCAGGTGAAGAACCGAAATTCGTCGCTACCACCGTCAAAGCCTACGATCTGCAGAAGCTGCGTGAGCTCTTCAAGGCCCAGCTGATGGGTGTCGGCATGATGGGTGTTATGCACCTTTACTTCAAGTACACCAACCCGCTCCTCATCCAGTCCATCATCCCCCTCAAGGGCGCGTTCGAAGGCAACCTCGTCAAGGTCCACCTCTTCGGCCAGCCGGCAACCGGCGACCTCGCTAGGCCGTGGAAGGCGGCTGGCGGTATGATGGGCGCCATGAGCGGCGGCGAGATTAAGACGGATAAGAAGAGCATTGAGGCTGCTGAGCGCGCGGGCCGTGGCGGTGTCAAGGACGAGTAGATGGGCTGGTGTGCCGTTTCTACGGGGTTGCCATGCATATGGTGTGCATGGGAGCTGTCTTTCTTGATAGAGCTTGTTCGGTTCGCTCGCACTTTACGCAAGAACTTGGTTGAGCGACTATGCGCTTGCTAATTGTATAACATGGACGTCTGATGCTTTTGCCATTCGCCAACTTAATTCCACGGCTTGTACAAACACACTGCATGCGGCTTGTCTTTACGTGTCCATGTAATCGGATGCTTTCTTGATGTTCGACTCCTACAGCTAACCTTATCACAAAGACCCGCTCCTCTATGTTCGATCTATGAAACGCCTGACCCTAATAAGCCTTAAGCTCTATGCCAACACGCACATATCCGTCCGTTCTAGCCGTCGTCCAGGGCGGACCTTCAGCAAACGCCATACTAAACACAACACATGAACAGCAAGAGTGGTGGATTAGGTCTGTTGAGCCCATGTCCGACCCGCGTCGAAAACCGAGACAGCGCTGGAAGGGTTACCGGTTCGCTTGAGAACAACGGCATCGTCCATGGGAGTTTAGAGAACCATATGATGCGTCGGTGGCAGATATAACTGAGAGTAGAGTGGTTGGCGAAGATGTTAAGTGAACGTTCGTCGTCTGCTCTTACCTAGGTAAGAGCCCCTCGTGGACGTAATGATAGTGCTGCGGTACCGCTTCTTCGGTTTGAAGTTATGAGTGAAGTTATTCGTACGACTTGCTGCGTTGCTTTCATATTCCCCCACTCCACTGAGGAAAGTAGCCATCTTGCAACGGCATGGCTGCAGGTTCATTTTCGTAGTTAAAAGGGTCGCCCCAGAAACCCTGGTTTTGTTAGCCAATCGACCCCGTCTACCCGATCATGTCATGGTCACTTACGAAATCAAAGTCGGGAATTACATCCGTGCTAGCTTGTACGTCGCCTACGATGTTGTTGATGTTGTTGAGATTGATGTCATCCCAGCAAGGCGCATTGTCTTGCATAGACTGCATGGACTGCAGCAAGTCGGGTTGAGTCTGCATGGGTTCTGGTTGAGATGGTCCTGGCATGTTTTGTTGGTTATAAGCTGCAGACGGGTTTTGGTAGGCGTAGCTTGGGATGCCTTGCATTGCCGGATAAACGCCCGTGTTACTGTTGGGTGCGTTGTTGTTCAGCGGCATGGGAATGGAAGGCACGATGGGTTGGCTGACGTAGGTAGTTGATGGCTGCGGCGGCCCTCTTGGCGAGAGATTGTGTTCCGAGACGGCCTTGTCGATCATGTTTTTGACTGCTTGCCAGGCTTTGGCGCTGTTGTTCTCGCGGAGGATACGAGACATCTGGAGGGCTCTTAGAGCGCGTTGGCGGTCTGGTGCGTTGAAGAGGGGGTTGCGGAGTTCTGATAGGATATGCATGATGGCTTGGAAAGATGCGATTCCTCCTTTGAAAGTTAGCTCTTGTGTCTGACTAAGTATTGTCGGGGTTACGGACCAATGTGCCATTGGAAGCGAGCAGCATCGACATCAGCTGCCGCTCCGTTCAGTGTTTCGACGCAGTTTACTGACTTCTCGAAGATCCTAGCATTGTCAGCCGTTGTTGGTTTTCTCATTAAGACCCTGACTTGAACGTACGATCGGCGGATCTCGTCCGAAAAGACTACGTCGCGGTAAGCACGCGGCATCCGAAGCCAAAACAGCAGGTAGGCACGCCATTCCAATAGTGAAGCCAATCCCAATGTTAGCCTCTCCATTGGTACCTCTGGGTTGAGGTTGTGTAAGTATTTTCGCTGATTCTCTTCGTGAACTTCGTCGAGCATGACTTTGATCTGTTCATATAGATCTCTGAGTTCTTGTGCAGGATCAGGACGAGATGTTCCATGAAGCCCCGAGTCCAGCATACGTCGTTCCAGGCGGTAAGTGCTTTGAACTATGCGCCGTAGCGCTCGCATGCCGTTGAACCGGACCAGCTGGAACGTCATGGTAGTGAGCTTCGGTTCGTCATAGGGGGCTGGGCCAGGACTTGCGCCATCTACAAGGTCCTCGTCGTCAATGTTTCGTGGGAATAGTGTCGTGTAGAAGTCTTCGGTGATGCTCGGTTCCTGTCCTTTGCATTCTGCTGCCCGGAACTCCAAATGTCCTAGTTGATGCCACATACGACGCCGTAACTCGATGGTCAGAGCGTCCATGGAACCGGTCGGAAATAAAGATGGATCTCGATGTAGGCCTTGGTTCAAGGCGATGCGAAATGCGATGCCTATCAACACCCACGCTTTGCCTACTCCATGTGTGAGCATTCTGGAACTAACGAACATCTAGTGCACTTACCCATATCTTCTTCCCTAGTAATACATGTCAACCATAACACAAATCCCTGGAAGATCTCCAGATTCGATGTTGTGAGGTAATTTTCCCTGGCCAGTGAGATCTCAACACCCAGCTGAAATCGATCGAGGAGTGATTCCTTTGTCTCGCCAAACTTGTTGTGTACTACCTTTGGAGGCAGAGAGTTGATCGCAGAGAAGTAGATGGCATAGGCCATTGGGTGTGCTTCGTTGTTGTAGGTGGAAAACTTGCGCACCACCGTTGGCCTATGGGTAATTCTCACCATAGGATCTACATTTGCGAAATAGACGTCCAGCAGCGTGTCGCGGTGCTCTTTTGTGCTCGGTAGCAGATTTTCAAGATTTGATCCGGCTCCTGCGCGACCGAGGGAAAGTAGGTCAACCAGACTGCTTTGCGGCACTTCCTTTCTCTCTTCGTCGGTCTTATCACCAAGCAAGGCCTTGATGTCTTGTATCTAAAGCTCAATCAGCATTGTTCAATATTCCTAGAAACAGAGAAACACAATAAGAATGAATGTAGCCTTCGCTCGGTGTAACTCGGAGCGATGTTCTGTCATGTCGAAAAGCGGCACTCACCTCGTCGGCCAGTAATGCAAAATGCAGAGAAGAGACAAACTGAGACTGCCCATCATTCAACAAGAGGGTCCCGTCACCACCATCAGAAGCGATTCCTCCTCCATGGGAAGTCTGACTATTCGACGATGGGGTCAGCGCCTCCAATTCTTTCCTGTCTAATTCAACACTGGACCGTACGGATGCCGTGGATTTCGCCCCCTGTCCCGCAACAGCTTTTTCTAAAAGATATTCGAGTCTGTCTAAGCGGGCTTGCACGTCACTGCCTTTCCCGGTCTTTCCAGTCGCCCCAGCCGTGGGTTTCGAAATCCTTCCAGTAGTAGTGGATGCCGGTATTTGATCTGTCCAGGTACACACATGACTTCCTCGCATGCAAGAACCGCATACTGGATGAACGTGGTCACATTTGACTTTCCTGCGCCGACATGTCAAACAAGAGGAGATGACGCGATGTCGTCCTCCGCTGGGTTTGCTTGTTGAGCCCGGCGAATTAGACGATATGCCGACTTTCGATTCAACCATGCTCGGGGACGGTTTGCGATAGTCTGCATGAGAGTCTTGAAGTTTTCGACAGGGTGGATCGGCCCCCGGGGAGGAATTGGTTCCGTCGCGCCTTGGTGTTCGTTGCGATTCTCGCCCCGCTAGCTGACGGGCCGCCGTTACCCGTTTGGGCCTTAGCGACGATCAACAATCTTCCTCCGAGAACTATCCGACCAATGCTTTCCAAGGTTGACAGCAGACACCTCGGTACATACATGGAAGTTTCATATAGTACTCCCGTGGACAGCCCAATCGTGCTTCGAGGTCTCCAGTTTCGGATGTGGACCCTGTGTCGTCATAGTAT